CAGAGGAAGGCATGTTTACTTGAGCAGTAACTGTACCTCCAGCACAGATCAGCGAAGCACCGCTGGTCAGCACAGAATCATGAGCATTTCCTTTATTTGCTGTGGCCACTCCAGCACAGAGGCCATACTTAGTTTCAGTGTCACCTGGGCCACCACCAGTGTTTACCATAATGGAGTCCTGGTACTGATGTCCAAGATTAAATTCTTGAATTACAAGAAGGAGTCTGAGGTTGTATAGTTTCGGTGTTTCCTTTGTCCTCAGGACATACCTGGATGCTGTGGCACTCCATATGGCCTTGATATTATTAACAGCTGGTAGCATTTAGTCATCAGGACTTCAAATCCTGCTGCTGATTCAGTACTTTCATGCCAATCTGTGAGTGGGCCAGCACTGCAGCATTCTCCCTCCAGCACACCCACATGGGCAGCTTGTCTCCACACAGTGACTCCCTGAAATAGGACTGCAGGAAATCCTCTTAGAAACGTGCCCAGGTTGTGCTGAACCTCTCCCTCTTCTGGCCTGGCCTCGGCTGCCAGCCAGTGTGAGCAGAGCAGCCGGGCAGTAACACACCCTGTGTCCCTCCAGCCACACCCCGAGTGCTCCTCACCTCCTCCCAGGACTCTGAACTGGTACCTGCTGCTTGTCCTTGTCCTGCAGAAAACAGGCTAGTGACACAAAGAAGCCCTTCATCCAGTACTGTTGATGAGCAGCAGATGGATTTGGGCAGACAATCCCCAATTCACTTTTCAATTTTGTTTTATGGTTTTTCAACACTTATTGATCTTATGATATAATATCATCCCTTAATAACTTATCTGGGCAATATGTGGTCTAAAATGTGGTCTGATGTTTGTTTGAGCAAACATTCCAATTTCACATGAACAACATTTTTTATTCAGGCACAGATAAATGATGGTCAATGACCTCCAGGACTGTTGACATTTTTATCTGATACTTTCAAGCCCTTACCTCAGAATATAGGTGCGGCACCATGAATGCAAAAATAGGAACAGTAATATTCAAAGGAAACAGAAGATGTAAAAAGTAAGACCCAGACATCAAAGTTCTTAAGATGGGTTTTAAAAACAAGGTTTTTATAAAATAAACTAAGTATAAATTCTATTGGTGATAATTCAGAAGCTACCTATTGCACACACTTCATAGTTAAGCATTTTCTTCTGCATCTGAGATGTAGAACTCCCTCTGATTCCATTCCTAACATCAAATTCTTAACCTCATCTTTTCCCCCAGCCTCTCAAGCCCCTCTGCAAAAAGGTCAGTCTTTCAACATATCCTTACAGTCATCAATTTACAATTAGACTGTTTTTTTCTGAAAAGCAATGTGCAGCCAAAGACACTGAGGACAAGACAAGGAATGCTGACACCCTTTTTATTCCCTGTATTAGTCCTTGAGGCCTCCTAAGCAGCAAGACTTCTGTAACTACATTGTCAACCTGCTCACTTGACAGTTTGTCTCCTCCAAATAGCTTTTGAACTTAAGGTCTCTTTGAATGAAATTTGATAGACAAGGTGATGAAACTTCTACAAGTTTGATAAGAAACTGGTGACTGGTAAAGAAAAATAAGCTGCAGGCAGAGAGAGGAAGCTGGAGCTGGAGCTGCTGCTCTGAAAACTATAACCAAAGCAAATTTGTCTAACATTGCATTTGCATTGGAGGCATCCTGTTTACACCCAGCAGATAAAAATAAGACATGTCATATTTACATATTTTTCCATCCTACTTGGGGGCATTCCTGTTAAATGCAGAGCCACCCCAAGAACTGCAAATCTTTTTTGGTTTTTGCATCAAGACCAATAATGCCTGAAGCTCTGGAGAATTTCAGACTGAAAAAAAAGAGAAGCCAGCCCAGAATTCACCTCTAAAGAGGCTAGAGTCACACATGTGTGTGTTAGCTGGGCTCTGGCTTGGGAGCAGGAGCAGGAGCAGGAGTGGCTGCAGAGCAGCGCAGTGTGAGATGGGAAAGGCTTTGCTGCCTGCACATGTGACAGAGCTGTGCCATGTGGTGACACCAGCCTGGGTGTGAAGCACTCCTGCAGAAGGCAGAGAACAGTCTGCTCATAACAGCTGTGCTCCCAAGAAGCCAGGGATATCTGTAAATAATTACAGCTGTACTTTAGGAAAGGAGGAATTGGTTATTGCATATCTTCTTCCTTACGTGTCAGCTCTCCTTTTCCTATCTCTCTAGTTTAAAGTTATATTTATTGCACATTTCATACACTGTTTTTTAAGTGGGGAAGATAAGCCTCTTTGATGTGTTCTCCCAGTGCTGTGGAGAAGTTTAGGATGGATGTTTATTACCACGTCCTTAAAGTTTGAATGTGGATCACCTCTTACTGTTGCAAGTCAAGTCTTGGTAAAAGTCATAAACGAGGTTTTGATACACCACACAAGAGAAATGCCATGTTTGGATACATATTTCTATTCCTTCCAGCAAACTATTTACAGAGATGGCTTCATTAAAGCAACACACAAAACTTAAAAGTAATAAATATAAAAACAAAATAATTTTTAAAAAGATATCAGACTGAAGGAGAAGTGATAAAAATACATTATTCTGACTTAAGTACAACCAATATTTAATTAACTGCTCTTACTGTGCCTGAAGTTCTTGTCAATGCTTTAATAAAAAGGTCTAATCTTTCTTTTCCAAAGAAATCAAGGACAAAACTCTCTAGAGTGGGAACAGAATCTTACTTTACTTCTGCAGTCAATTTTGCAGGAATTGCACATTTTCCACTGTTTATTCATACTGTTTCAATTTCATACATAAAATATACATAAGCTATGGTAAAAAAAAAAAAAAAAATTATGAGTGTCACAATGAACAACCCAGAACAGAAGAGGAAAAAAAGAACAATCTGCAAACAACAGACAGCTGAGGGAATTATGTTATAAATCACCTAATCCAATGCTTTTCTTCAGTATCACTGCCCATTTGAAAAAATTAACAAGTATTGTAATAAATGAATTGGGGTGCAATTTGGAGCACAGCAATAACAGGAACTTTATTTTTAACTGATGAGATATATTTCAAATGCCTTTGATTATTTACACAACATTTATTTCACTGCTTTTTTACTGTCTTCTGGAAGAGATTCTGAGTAGTTATAATGAAAAATATTATAAAACCAAGCCAAAAGAAATGCCCTATTTCATCCGAACACTTGCACATCCAGCCCAGTTTCCATCTCTCCCAGTGGCAAAAGACAATTAAGGTTAGAAGAAGCTTATGACCTGCCTCTCTCTGTACAGCATTCCCCCTGTACTTTTCCAGCACCCAGAATCATTCTACCAGGGTCATTAAACGGTCCTCTTCTGCTGAGTCCTTCTGATATCCAGGTCAGGACCTGCTGCCCAAGGACTTTTCTATGCAATTTCTGCCCCCAGTGATAGTATCTGCATCCAGATCTTTCTGTGGCAGCAAGTCCCACAAGTGGGGGTCTATTTTTAAGCATTTTATATTTACTCATGATGGTTTTGGGTGCTCCTGGTTCTAATATTGTAAGATGCTCCATTTAGCTTATCTATTACCAGAGAACTGTTAAGTGTGTCCTGAACTAACTATGAATGAAATATACTTCTTCAGCTCAGTTCGTTTTAAAACATGATTTCTTAGACAACAGACAGGCTAAGACGTGGAATTTTTAAAGATTAATTAAATGAGGTAATTGTTAAGGATGTTTATTCACTGTATTTCTGAAGGTTTCTCACAAAAATAAGTGAAAAAACCCCTTCACAGTCAAACATGCAAATCCAAGTCATAGAATCATAGAATGCTTTAAGTTGGAAGGGACCTTAAAGATCATCTAGCTCCCAGCCCCCAAGTCAATTATACAGCCAGCACTTTTTCTGTGAGAAGCTAATCCAATCTTCACATCAACCTAGATTTGGAAAATTCCTCATCTGGGTCTGACCTTGTCATTTTGGACTCTGCATTTTTGTATTTTCTTATTCAGTGTTTTAATTTTGTGTTCCGTCTTCAGCCACTCCCTGACAAGCAATTACTGCCTTTTAAGAATGTCTTAAACTATCCAGAATAAAAGATCTTCAATACAATGAGACAACATCTCATCCTTTCTGCTTAGGAGAGGATATTGGCATATCCTTGAAAGGTACAAATCTTACTAGGTATGGTATTATTTTATTAAATACAAAAAGAAAAATTACCAGCAATCCTCTAAAGAAGTCTATGAAGACTACTACAGCTAAAAAGCACACAAAACTCTTCAGGTTGAGAATGCAAAGGCAGCTTTAATGCAACTTCTTGCCATACCTAGATTACACAGGTATTAGGCAGTCAGTCCCTTTTTGAGTACCAGTCTGAAATGATGTAAAGCTGATAGAAATCGGCTCTAAATTTTCTTTAGCTGGAGGAGTAGCAGGTACTCACATAGCAGCTACGGACCACCAGCCTGCAGTGCACCTTGAGCTATATTCCTTTTCCACATCTGAGTGAATTCCTTACTTCCCTTTCACCAGTTGCCTGGTGGTTAAGGATCTGTAAAAACAAGGATATGGATATAGCCATAATTTGACCACAAATATTTCAGCATATTTTCAGTTCAACTGTTTTAATTGTCAACAGAAGACTAAGATTGTGTAATATCTGCACACATAAACTGGACCTTCTTACTGCCAGGCTCAGCCTCACACAGTTAGAAATAAGTACTTTCCATGATAAAGCACCATTGCACAATGTCTGCCTAAAGAATCATAAACGGGCCCTTTGATGGGTAGTTCAGAGAGTATTATAAAGCCTACTTTCCTTAAAATCTGCTCAATCACTATATAATCATTTACTTGCTGTTTGCAAATGTTAATCCAGGGTCAAGGTAATGGCTGTCTGACACGACACTTAAATTTATTTAAAACCATGCCCTTTTATCATTCATTTATAACTTTGCTGGGCTGCTCTGATTTAAAAGCAGGTTGGCTTTAACAGGGCATGGGCACAAGTGACCTAACACTACAAACAAAATGCTGCTTCTAGCTTCAGCTTTTTTTCTAACACTACTGCAGTGCTCTAATGCCCAAAATGAAATAAGCCTTACACCTGCAGACTGTAACACCATTGAAACAGATGCAGGAGTGGCCCTGGATTTGGTCAACAGACATCGCAGAGATGGTTATGTTTTTGGTTTATTCCGTGTTGCTGATGCACATGAACTACATTTAGTAAGTATGAACTTAAAGACTGATTTATACAAGACTGTGATTTTTAAATAATGAGCCAGGTAATTAAGAGCTTATGTTTATTGCTTTTACTAGAACAATGTTGATGTAATCCAATGAATCAGCTGTGACTTAATCACCTCAGTATTCATTTGTGTATGATTTACTGCACGTAAACTTGATTTCAAACAATGCTGAATGGCCTCTCTTCTCTTGGCCAGCAGGATGTTTGCATAAGAGATGCTCTGAACAGCTCTATACAACTCTGGAGATTAATCTGTTCTGTCTGCTGTGTGGTTTCAGATGTTATACTCAAAATTTATATTCAGAAGGTTTCTTTATTCCATGAATGTCTAACATTAATTAGATCAACTTATCCTGCAAGATGGATTTTTTGTTATTATCTTAATTTCACAGACAGCTGAATAAACTGGTGGAAAGGGAAAAAGGCAGAGGAAGTCAAAGGAGTTGCTACCCTGCAAATCAGGGGAGGGACTGGATAGAGAATTCCTATCGGTCATTTTCTATTTCCTTCCTATTTCCATTTTTTTTTCCTAGAGAAGATACATAAGTCTGCATGACTGCTGAAATGCAAAAACAAATCAACAGCAGAAAAAGCAATAGAATAAAAATGTCTTTAAGTAGTACATAAAAGAGACCAAGGACAGGCAGATTACTAACACACCTGGTAGCTTTCAGCTGCTTGATTATGAAACTAGTATCCAGGCACACATGCACCATCCCAGAAGTCTCAGTATAGCAACAGAAAAAACAGGCTAGTTTTTCATGGAGCTGCTTTGTAGTGCCTGCAGGGACAAGTACAGATTCAGAAAGTGACCCAAAGCCCAGGCTGTCACAGGTCTTCAGGTACACTTGCAAAAAAACCTGATGGATTTTTTTTGCTTTTCAAAGACAAGAATGCAGCAAGTTATACCATTGGGTTGTACACAGTAACCAGGCAGTTAAAGAGCTTCATCTAAGAAGGAGCTCTTCTGCATTAAGAGATTTAAACCCTGAAGTCTCCCATCCAGAAGAATTCTGCTGCCATGCAGCCATGTGTGTGTCCCCCTCTGAAGTGGTACCACCAGGCAGTAAGACAAGCAAAATGCATTGGATAAATGATAAAAAGCAAAGTTGTGTCTAAAAAGAAAAATCTCAGTGTTTCTACATTTTAAGCAACCATTGACTATATAAACTATAACTTGGAATATTGACTAGTGCTGAGGATTCACTCTCCCAGATGAATGCTATAAGCACTAGAATCCCATTTATGTTTCGCTTTGTACCCTTAATGAATTTTGCCATCTTTGCAGTCCAGGGCCACAGCTTCAGCTGTCACACAGTGTCTACAAGAACAGAAAAGACACTTCTATCTATCTGACTGCTAAAGAATCCTTCCTGTAAGGTCTCTGTACATTCTCATACCCAAAGCCACCAGATGTGATCTCCTGCACACTAATAATGTACATTATTGTGCAAGAACTTTTTTTGGTTCCACTGCCAAGATAACATTAAGAATATGTATATATTTTTTAAAAAAGACCAAAGCATTATTTTGTTTCTCCATGCAATAGTGTGCAACAGGTTTATCATATCAGCCCCCTCAGAAACCTAAGCAGAGCAACTCCAGCCAAATCTCTACTGGGTTTACACAGGAGTTCTAGAAGCATAAGATACTCAGGTATCCACAACAGTTCCGGACTTGTGCAAAACTGTAGTGAGCAAAATGCTTTTAAAACAACCAAGAAGATACCATTTCCCCCCCAAAAAAGCTATTGAGCAGATGAACTGAAGAATTTTCTACTGTGTATTTGAATGTAGACACTTAACCCCTATTTTAAAATTAGAGACAATGCTAAGATATACAAATATTGCAAAACCAGGGTTTAACACTACATTGGTGGACTGTCACCAGTGAAAATATTACACTAGACTGCAGCAATTCTTCAACAAGGTCTCATCTATAAAGAAACACTGAAAAAGGAACCTGAATGGATGGAACTTCATAAGGTCTGAGGACACTTATTCACAGTGAAGGGTTTTGCATGTTTTTATCTAAATGACAGAATAAAATACATATGCATTTATTCTGAATGTCCTTACAAGGGCTGAATAAAGTTTAAATAATCCATTCCAAAACTGTTTCTGTGTGTCACAGAAAATTCTTAGCACCACATGCCATTACACTGCTATCCAAATAAAAATTTTAATTCTCCTAATCGTATTTGCTCAGGAGACAGAACATACTAGAATAGTTTCAGAGTTAAGGATTCTGATTGGGATTATTAGAGTTTTGTTGCATCAATCCCTGAATAAACTGAGAAGGAAGCAAAGTTCTGAAAGTCTCTGGTCACTAAGGTAATTTGAAATGGGGGAAATAATTGGGTGCCTAGACAACTGATGTCCTAATAGAACAGTACATTCTATGGGAAAATCGGAAATAGGTAATGGCAACCTTTTAACACTGGCATTTTCCCACTTGATGAATGTTAGATTAACAACAGACACCTCTCACAGGTTATCAACAAAAGGATAAGAGGCAACAGGTGTAAGTTGCAGGAAGAGAAATTCTGACTACATATAAGGCGAAAAAAATCATGGAGAAAGTTGTGAAGTACTAGGATGGCCCAGAGATGTTGTGAAATGTCTTGGTGATACACAGAATGCAGTTGAAACTTTGAAGTTCCAGCTTTGCCTTGAGCAAGTGGCTGAGCAAGATGACCTCCAAAGGTCCCTTCCAGCCTGAACGCTTTCTATGCTTGTCAGCTCTGAAAAACCTTAATAGAGATCTGGAGAAGGTTCATTAAAGATTAAACATATCTACCTCAAAAAAAAAGTTTATTTCAGATCAAACTTCTTGTCTATAAACTCCATTTTACTTGCACTTCTCTTCCAGGGAAATTCAACAGTCCTCTACTTGACTTTGGATGTGCTGGAAACGGAATGTTCTGTCTTATCCAGAAGACACTGGGAGTCCTGTGAATACAGTCACACCTATCCAATGGCAAGCAATGGCATCTGCACCAACTCATACACCAATAATGCACTGACTTGATCTTCCTCTGAACTGCCCAGAAATTTGTGTCTCAGTGAACACTGGGCTTTAATATGGTTCATTCTAAACCAAAATCTAATTCTAGAATGTCAAACATATGCTAAAGGCTTGGGAAAGGATTGAGTCTTCAAATAAGTATAACTTTATATAACTTGCTGTCTCAAAGGAACTATACTTCACATTCTACTGCTTGCAGCAGAACTTATGTTTTAAGGGTAATTTGCTGACAACTAAAGGGCACTAGAATTATTTTTTAAGTATGTTCCTGGTATATGAGGCAGACATACCAGTGGTAAATTTTGTCAGTTTTCTGTCATAACATTTGTGGTACAACAATGTGAAATATTGCTAGTGTCATTATGTGAACAATATACAGCAATACTTGTCCTCTCTTTTGAACTCCAGTGATGAGAACTCCCAGTTCAAGACTTTATTGAAAAAAGAGTTGCAATACTATGACAAAGGACAAAGCAGAAAGGCCAGGAACAGAGAAGAGAAAGCATTTATTCTTTTTCTTTTTCTTTTTTTTTTTTTTTTAAATGGAGAAAAGGAATGGATGAACAGGTCCATCCACTTTTGACAAAGATTTATGTAACCTGGCATTTTAACTTTCCTTGCCATCTTGTCTTATCCTACTCTAAATAAGTATCAGGATGACTTAGAAAGCTGTTTCAGTTTTGCATTGTCTACTCAATCATGCAAACTGAGAATTAAAATAAAAGCTCTTGTAGAGAGAGATCCCATTTTATCTGAGGACAAATTTTGAGTGGTACCTGATCAAACATTCCATTAATGACCACATCTGTTATTCTTAGAGGTACTGCACATTAAAAGGAGGTATAATTTCTATGATCGCCTACAACCAATTAAATCCAGGGAAAATAACATCATAATCATGTATTCTTTTTTCCTTTCAGGACTTTGGGCAATGTAAGATTATCACATATACAAACCATCTGCTGAAGAAACCTCAACTATGTGGATTTAATTGTACATTAAGTCCAGGTAAAATAACCGCTGCTGTAAGCCAATGCATACCTCAAACCAGCCCTTGTACCAAAGTCTGTACACTACTGGTGCATGGAAACCATAACAGATCCATTCATCTGCTTGTAATTCATATTTTAGATAATTCAAATGGAATGTTAAGAATGAGTAATAGAATTAAGGTTACCCTACTCCTCTAAACCAGACTTTATTGATGTCAGCTGATATCACCATTCCAGTCCACCAAAATATGATAATGAACATCAGAACAAATGTAAACTTGGGAAGACTGCACATTTGGGGTGGTAAGAATCTAAGGTGATTTATAAGAATACTCATTTTCATGGGTTTGGGATTTTTCCACATTACAGAACAAACCCTTATTTGTGGAGCAAGGACAGGTATTTCACTTCCAAGGAAATGCTGCGTTTACGTTTCTCATTATGAGTTCACATTAAAGGCATGGGCACACTCCCAAGAGTATCAATATCCACTGTAATATTAGTCAATTATTTGTTTTCACAGTTCCACCTGACTTAGTAGAGTGCAAAGATTGTCCTGTGAAACTTGAAGCCTTAGAAGTCACTGAGCAACATAAAGATATTGCTGCAAAGGCCTTGAGGAAATTCAACAGTGAAGGTAACCACACAAACAATTTCGCTGTGGATAAAGTTGAAAGAATTTTAAAGATGGTAAGTGGCATTTTCTCCTAGAATTACTTAGAAATGACACAATTTTATGAGCAACTCTAAGACCATGGGACCAGAATTCAAACCCTTCCAGGATCAAATCTAAGTTGAAGGTCCTACTTTAGAAAAGACTTGTTACCAACTTCAATTTAGGTGTGTGAAAGCAAAAGGACTTCTCATTTGCTAAAGAACTATGGCAGTGTGATGGCATTCAGAATTCAAGTGTACATATTTTAGTTTAATAGTCTTTGTGTACATATTTTAATTTTTATGTACATGACATATATGAGTTTATTTACTACTGAGCAGACTTCAAGATGGACAGTCATGTATTATCACAGTTACATGTTTTGTCAGTTGCAGCCAGATAGTTTTTTACTCTTAGAATACTTAGCACATGGGTACAACAACAGTGGAACATGCTCAGCATCATTTTGGCTCTTGCTGCAGAGCAAAGCAGCACTCTGAGAAAGGGAGATGAATTTGTGCTGTAACTCTTGAAGAACTTCTGGGTCTGGTAAATATCTCCATATCTAAGTGAGGTCAACATGAAGACTTATCCTTTGGGTGATTTAAGTATATTAATAACAAAATTTCTTGTTGGTAGATACTGGAGACTTTCACTTAAACAGCACGGGATCATTCTGCCAAGACGTGTGTCAGCCCAGGACACCTCTGTAATGAGGTCCCAAGGCTCCCACCATAATACATGTTGATCTTGGAAACTGCCTAAACGATAGCATGCCAAACCCGCCTCCCTGCAGCTTTTAATATCGCTCAGAAACCTGACAGTGTCCCACACTGGAGCCCTGTGCACGTTGTATCCCTACTGCCATTCAGAAAGGGATTGTTTTCACATTGCCTGGGTTCATGTGTTTCTCCCCAAACACTTGGTTTTCACACTTCACCATCTTCAGCTACAGCAACACTTTACATTGTACCTCTGGATTTTAACACTCAGAAACTATGAATTACAATAAAAAAAACCCATACCATAAAGTATGTGCATGCACTTTCAACCAATTTAGTTAAACTAGTGAAACTCGTGTGTGCACACATGCCAAGGACACCTTCAACACAGACTTGATATAAAAGTACTGCTATAGTTGGAAATTAAAATGAAACACCTCTTTATGGATTTTAATAGGATCACAAAGGCTTTCTCCCATCTTCATATGGAGCAAGGCCTTCTCCATAACTAATGCCCTTGACAACAGAGAAAGCAACATTCTCACAGTCACTAGCAGAATTTCATCCAAAATTAACATCAGCACTCTAATACTATGCACTCCCATCACTGGAAATGGGTGGTTGCCATACAATGGATCTCTCTACTTTCACAGAAGCAGCAGTTCAGTTTAGGGAGAAGACTCTAAGGACACTACTTCCTAAAAACACAGGCTGTAAAAGTAACAGATTTTATAGCACATGCATACTAAACAAAGAATTAAAGGAAGCGTTCCTGGAAGCTGTAAGGGCGTGAGATATAAATTATCTATTTTCCTTGCTGAATATGTGTATGTGCATGAACATTTGAACAGGACAGGTAAGGAAAGCATGAGGTAGATGGGATTTTGACAATAAGATGACGTGTGGTTGCTCTGAAAATTACAAGACTTTAAATACACCTAGTTACAACTTCTTTGACCTCTTGGTTTCAGACTGCCTCCCGTGAAGGTCACATTTTAGAATTCTCTATAAAAGAGACCAACTGTTCAAAATCTATGCAGGAAACAGATCAGGCACTGGAATGTGATTTTCTGCATGACTGGCATGGTGTAAGTAAAGTCTCAGAAAAAGAACTGATATAAAGGGTGGTACCGGGAAGACTCTACCAATATATTTTCAAGTGTTTATTATAAGCATGAACCGAAACTCAAAACTAAAAATCCAGCATGTCCAAGCCCAGATCCTAATTTTATAGCTGCTCCATTATCTTTTATAAGGAAACAGTCTGAACTCTCAAATCTTAATGTGACTGGAATCTGGCATATTAGAGGCCTAGAGTTTTCCAGGTTGTATCTGGCTTTTGCATTCAAATTGTGGCCGATCTCTAGCAAATCATTCATGCTATGTCCATAAAAACTTTTACACCAATATGAGTCATAGATCCTGAAAAAAAATATATGTCTTATGTAATCCCAGTGAGCTCAGGGTCACTTTTTTCTCTACTGCAGAAGAATAGAGAGTGGAATAATTCAAGCTCATCTGCAGAAAACTATCAAAGTATTCTCTTCACCCCATTTTTCCGTTACTAGAAACAGCTAGGCAAGATCTCATAATTTCAGAATAAATTATTCCCCAGAAACTAAACTGAAATAATTAAAAATAAATAATAATTATTTGTTAAAAAATATAAATATAATGATTATAATTATAATAAATATAATAATTTATAATAATTTATAAATAATTAAAAATAAATAAAAATAAAATATGGGAAAAATAAAATATGTACAACTTTTGGTTTATATGGTTTACATCCATCACCTTCTCTGTTTTTTTATACTCTAGAAGACTGGAAAAGGTTGTGAATTAACAGGCAAGGGAGCCACAAGTTCACTAGAACAAAGCACAAGGCAGATGGTGTGAATTCTGCTCTCAGTGCTGCCATCACTGCTGTTTGTGTGTAAAATGCCATTACCATTTGTAGTCACTGAGCACAAAGGGCTACTAATGGCCCAAACAAATATCAAGACAAAGCACCCAGTACAGAGAACATACACAAAACCCATCACCTGAGTTCTGTGCTCTTTCACATGAGAAATTCCACACACAACGACTGGACGGCAGGAGAAAGTCACAGCAAACAGAATGATAAGGGAAGTAATGCAAAAAATTACAACAAATTGCTTTAAAAAATAAATGGAAGAAGGCTCTGCCTTGAGCTTTATCTGAAGCAGCATAGCTATAACAGTGCCAGGTTTTGAGAGCTTTGAGCAGAATTACAGAATAGTCCAATCTGAACAGATGTTTGACAAGCAAAGACAGAAAAAAAAAATTAAAAGGAAGAAAAATCAGGCACCCAAGAGTACTCATTTTGGAGACATTAGTGGCTGGCCAATTTCTTAGACACCAAAAGGGAAGTGAGATGCAGAGTAGTAGCCCTCTGGGTGCACATGGTGAAGCGCATCTAGAGTGCATCACAGTTAAGAACCCTCAAAACCAGCACATATTTTAATCATTATTAATCACTGACAATTGGTTGGAAGGCTCAGGATCTGGCTAAGTTATGCGAAGATACTTAGGTGTCAAAAGAATAGCCTAACTAGTAAAATGTCGAACATTCAGTAGTTTGTATTAATTCCATCACAGGAACCCAGATGTGCATTGTGGGGTTTTTTTCCTTGTCTTTTGCTTAGCACACTGGATTCTGCAAGGCAAGAATTATCAGTGATGCAGATGAAGCTGATGGAACAGATATAAGCTGTGAAATCTATCATCCCTGGGTACGTACTCAGTTATGGACACACCTCTGGCTGTATCCTCATGCAGGTTGCAGCAATCTTGCTTAGTCCAGACTGACAGTTGTAACATTTATTCCAATTTTCTATTGCCTGGTTATGATGCAGCATGTCAGGACAAACTGACCTGCAAGTCCTAGGCCAGTCAAAGGATGAATCAGAATTGAGCTGTCCCTACCACTCCTTTCAAGTGTGTCTTCTCTCAGTTCAATCACTTGACTAAGTGTGAGTAGAGATTGGCAAAAAAGTTCAAAGAGATTTTAGAAAGCAAGGGGACGGGAAATGATCTTTATCATATCTGGTATTCCAGTTTATATCACAACAGCTATTCCAGTGTGGATTTGTTTTGTTTTGATCTATCACAAATACTTCCCAGCTGGTTATATAATTTCAACATGGTGTGTTTCCAGCAGATTTTCAGTAACTCAGAATTTTATTATCTATTCAATTTCCTCCATCATGAAAAAAATACAGATTTTTTCCCTTAAAGATCATCAGAGCTACAAATGCAAACCTGCTAACTCCCACCTCTCTCTTTCTCATCAATTTCTTCTGCCCTATCAACACCTGATTAATACATCTTCCCCGGTGTTTTTATGAACAGCACCATGGCTGTGGAAGAAGAGGGAAACATTCAGCCCTGGGACATCCACACAGACATCCCCACTGTCATCATCATTTTGGTCACAGACATCGCCATAAGCATCACCACAGACATGAATGTCCCCCCTCTTCTCAGTCCAGACCTGAAGACGAGCATAACCCCAAAACCAGCAAGGAAGAGCAAGACAGCAACAAAGGACTTGCTTCTCCCCCTCCTCCCCATGATGAACCAGATCATCACCATCCTACTCCACGTCCTCATGAACCAGATCATGACCACCCTCCTCACCACCATGGACCACCCTGTCCCCCTCCTCATGGACCAGGTCACCACCACCCTCCTCACCACCATGGACCACCCTGTCCCCCTCCTCATGGACCAGATCATGACCACCCTCCTCACCACCACCACGGACCACCCTGTCCCCCTCCTCCAGGACACCCTCCTCATCACTGTTTCAGACATCATCACAACAAGACAAGCATATCAGGAAAGTATTTTCCATGCCATGTAACAGGAGCTGTCTATCGCATCCCAGTTCTAAATCAGCAGGATTCTCTCACACCTCCCACTGCAAACTTTCCTGAACTATCCCAATGCAACCTTCACTTTTCCAGCACTGGCTCAAAACTAAAGGAGATGGCAGAAGCTCCAGGCTTTCCAGATCGCCCTACACAATCAAAATCCTGCCCTGGAAAACCCAAACTCGACCTTCCAAAAATTTTACCTTTATTTCCTCATAGCTTTGTAACAGAAAATTCTCCTATATGACCTCAGAGAAAGATGTTCCTGGCTCAATAATTTCAGGGGCAACCACAGTCCTACAGTCAATGAAAACAGCAGATGGAGAAATGGGAAAAGCATTCTGTTTCTAGGAAGGAGAATCACTGAAAATATTCATTAAGTATTTCAACCTGCTTGTTCATCATGGCTACCTCAAGCTCCACTGTAACTGAAAGGTTCAAAATTCTGAGTCCCTCAGATAATGTGAATGGGTAAAAATATCCTCAGAAAACAATGCTCCTTCAGTTCTAACAAAAAGGAAAATTCTCTAATAGTGCAAACTACCATCTAAAATCTTTCTTTTTTTCAGAATTCATAATTATAATGTATTTCTCCAAGGAATCTTACGTAGAGGAAATTTGACTGCTTTCCATAAAAAAGTAATCCATGACTACACTCATGAATCCACTACACTCATGCTTTATACAGATTTATAGAAAATAAAAATGCAACCATTTTTTTCTCAACACAGTTGCCTGTTTTGTTGGTTTGTTTTTTGTTTTTTTTCTACTACACATAATTAGCTATTGGATATTGAACTAGAAATTATATTAAGCTATGAAGCTATTTAGGTATTAAACATCCACAAAGCAACTCCAGCATAAATTAACTAATGGTGTTTGGGTTAGCACTGTTATCTAGAAGGGGTCTGAGAACAGTTAATGACTTGCTGTCTCACTGCAGGGTGGCCTGCACAGGTGCTTCCATCGCTACAGCTGCTGGTGGTGATACACAGAAATATTGCAGTCAAGGACAGCCCTTCTCAAATAGTTCATAATTGCTCTCAGGGGAAGAGAAAAGCAGATGCATGTAATAACTCTTTCATGTAAATGTTTTCTTTATTGCTGATTCTTCCTCACTGGAAACTGAGTTGGGAGGAGCAGGAAGAAAGAACAGTAGTGCCTCTTTATATTCCAGCCCCCATCAAGGTCAAGTCCATTCAGACTGTCAGGGGACCAGCAAGCTGATTCAGAACAGCTATGTCATAAGCAAGAACATGGGATTAATCTCAAAAAAGTTAGTAATTTGATCATCCAAACAGCTTGTTAATGGCATAAAGTGAAACACAGTGCAAAGGCCACACTGAAGAAAAAGAAAAAAAATGAGGACTCATTGTGACTCTGTGAAGATTGACTAATTTTTAGAAGTCATTTATCATGTATGAACAAACTTATTTCTGGTTTAGTTTATCCACAGTCTCTAAAGTGCATTTTCTTTAATCAAAACTTGTAGCAAGTGTGGTGAGTCTGCCCTGGCTGGGTGCCAGGCACCCACTAAAGCTGCTCTGTCACTGCCCTCCTCAGCCAGACAGGGGAGGGAAAATATAACAGAAAGCTAATGGGTCAAGGTAAGGCTACAGAGATCACTCACCAAATATCATCACAGGCAAAACTCACTGGACTTGGGGAAATTGGCTTATTACTAATCAAACCAAAGTAAGAGAACGAGAAATAAAGTCAAATATTTAAAACACCTTCTTTCCCGGTATTTACTTCTGATTTTCTCTACCTTCTCCCTCAGCTGGTGCAGGGGGATGGGAATGGGAGTTGCAGCCAGCTCATAACATGTTGCTTCTACCCCTCCTTTTTCCTCAGGACAAGGACTTCTTACACTTTTCCCTTGCTCCAGCCAGGGATCCCTCCCACTGGAGGCAGTCCTTCATGAACTGCTCCAGTGTAGGTCCCTCCTCTAATATGCAGTCCTTTAAGAACAAACTGCTGCATCATCAATGCCCTAACAAGTCCTGCCAGCAAACTGCTCCAGCCAAGGCTTCCACAGGGTCATAGCCTCCAGTGGGCATCCACCTGCTCCGGTGTGGGGTCCTCCATGAGCTGCAGGTGAATCCCTGCTCCACCTCTAACCTCCAGGGGTTGTAGGGGCACAGCTGCCTCACCATGGTCTGTTCCATAGGCTGCAGGAAAATCTCTACTCCTCACCCACAGCAGTTCTTCCCACATCTTCTTCACAGGCCATGGGATTTGCACAGCTGTTTTTCTCACATATTCTCTCTCTTCTCCCTCCTGTTCTTTCCCAGTTCCTTTTTTTTTTTCTTCATCATGTTACCATGCAGAGGCACCACCACCAGCACTGATGGACACAGTCTTGGCCAGAACTGGATCAATCTTGGAACTGACTGGCATTGGCTCTGTCAGACATAGGAGAAGCTTCCAGCAACTTCTCACAGAAGCCAACCCTGTAATCCCCTGCTATCAAAAGCTTGCCACACAAACCCAATACAGCAAGAAACCGCTGGAACACAGAAGCCAAGGCAATCCCAAGGTGTTCACAGACCCAAAGCAAAGCTATTTGGTGCCACACAGGGGAGACAAGCACCAGATTTTCTCAGCCATCTCTAATCCTGGCTTGACCAGACTCAGACAATAGCGTTTAATCCTTTGTTCTTCGGTGTCACATATCAGTAACGATAACAAAGCACTATGATCACTGACTAATTCATATGCCAGACAGTCTCCACATGGCAGAAGAGATGGGCTTTCCAATAGGATCACGAAGGACAAGGTTTATCAAGCGCTATTGAAGGGTTATGTGACATTTAACCATATGCATGTGTCCAACAACTTTTTAAAAACATTCTGAATACTGTAGTTCTCAGAACTGTTGCAACCTGAACACTAAACAGATCCATAAAATTTACAAGGTTGTTGTCCAAAATTTCATTGCCACTGTGACCTTCCTGGATGTTTTATTTAAGCCTTGTAAAATTCATTCTCAGTAGCAGTTTAGGTGTTAAGAAGTCAAAAAACTACAGCCTTTTGCTTTACTTTGCCTAAACTGGTCTCCAGCTGCAGCCATTTATCCTGTTATCTTGATGGCAGGTGGATAACCTTAGTGTCATTCTGGTGAACAAACAAAGTTTATTTAGATAAACTCAGAAGTTTATTTGCAGTATAAACAGGGTATGATGAGAACCAACCAACCCCAGCAACTCACTCATTCTGTTTACTTAACTACTGCTCCTGAAAAACAGAAGAGGTGACTAAAATCCTGTCAGGCATTCCTTTCCCATTTGTTTCTTAAAGAGCCTTCTAATTCAGGGGGCTTTTTTCATCCAATTATGAAGGCCTTTATTGTACTAGCACTCTGCTGTAGTTTTTTCTCTAGCAGAGCCATTCCTCTTGCCTTTGAGTTCTCGGACTGTGATGACCCTGATGTCTTTAAAGCTGTTGACGCAGCACTGAAGAAATACAATGGAGACAGCACAACTGGTAACCAATTTGCTCTATACGTGGTGATGGAAGCCAAGAGAACTGTAAGTAGACTTTTAAAAAAAAAAAAAATGTTGGACTTGTTTATGGATTCTGAATCAGCTTATCTCCATCTCGTTTGTAAGGGGCCAAGCATGACAGCACAGTGCCTTCCAAAAATGTTTTGAAAAATCAAAGTGACTTGCACAGTAAGATACTTGTTCCCCTGACAAGCAGGGGTGTATATTATGTTTTTATCAGCTCAGTGTGCCAGTGAATTGCTTACTAATGCAAGGACTAAAGAATAGGAAATTTCTATCACCAACACAATTTGTCTTACTATTCCACTCTGTTCTCTTTTTTCTTTATTGGAAATTCTGCTCCTTTCCATCACCTGTAAGGTTTTCAGACCAATGGCACAACCACACTTTTAAAAAATATGAATATACTCTTGACTTGGGAAGAGCTGGTGCTGCACATAAAAAGAATCACCTGATAAAGTTTGGCAATATTCTGACTTGTTTGTGAATATTATTTGACTGACACCAGTCCTAAGTGACAGATCTATCTAGAAGCACTCGGTGGTATTTTAATCAAATAGGGTGACAGCTAAAATTACAAGAGAAAGAAGAATGCTACATGATCCTTTGCCTGGAGTCCTTCTATATAGCCTTAATCTAACAAAAAGTATTTATCTAAGAGAGTATTTATCTAATACCATCTTTATACAAAGATGGTATTATCAAAATAATGACACGCATTATTTTACTTGAAAATAACATTAGCATTTTTTTCTGCTGGATTGGATTTTCAGATGTAAACCATAAGAAATCCAGTGTTAGAGAGAATATTTTGCACTCCAAAATCATAAGACACTTTTACCCAGACAGAAATTGACCTCGGAAAGGAGCCATGCATTGCTGAACACAGCAAATTACCCACATTTCCTGGCACCTGCCCGCTCGTGTTCCTGTTTACACACTGGGGAGATTTTAGCATGTGGAGACAAAGTGTAAAATCAGAAAACCCTTTATATAATTAATATTAAGTAAATTAATAGTCTCACTGAACATTCTTAATGGTCTCATTCTAAACAACAACGAAATGCAAATATCTCTATGTCAGAGCTGTAGTACCACCTACTTTCTTTGGCTGGTGTTCCCAAAGGAGAGAAAGGAGTTTCAGAATTTTATCTTAAACAATGCTATATTTTTAAGAATACATATTTATTGCAATTATTGTTCATCTTTTCTTCTCTAGATAGCCATCTTTCTTATCTTAAAAGATACAAAGCGGAAATCAATTATTACTTTGAATCATTGATCTGATACCATGTTGAGTAAAAAACAGAGAAAAGGAATCTGCACTTAAAATTTCCTCACATTTGAGATTCTTTTTCTAAAAAGAGTATAGATTTTACTCCTTGCTAGTCTCACAATGTTGAATGCATTAATTAAATAGCTGGTTATTACATATTCATGTACATTCATTATTGATAAGGTAATAAAACATAAAAGCTTACTAGTGAAAGACTAAACCTGCCCCAGTTAAAGGCATAGCTGTTCATAATAGTAATGAAATAAACGAATAGCAAATAATACAGAAACAATGCATTTTCTTACTTTGTTTACTTACTGAGCTGATTTATTGCAGATTTAGAACACTGTAACAGAGAACAGAATTTGGCTTTTTAAAATCCCAAATAGTATAATGTGATGTAATTCCATAAAAGTAAATGTCTACCTGCTGAGGATTAAGTCTTTTATATTTTTAGAGTCCCTTTTATCCTTTTTTACAACCATTATATGAGGTACCCCTACACTTCTTCTTACCTGTAGCAATAAACAACAGGAATTAAGAGAAGGCAGAATATAATTCTGTGTCTACTGCATCAGTGTAAATTCAGTATATGCCAACCACATCAGCTCAGCCTCATTTTTTTGGTAGCACTAAGGCAAGAATTATAAACTAATCCTCCCAGCAGAGACAGAGAACAATAACTGGATATTTTAGAATAATCAGTGCTAAACTACAGCAGCTGCCTGTTTGTATTTGAAAAGTCACATTGGCAGAACATTTTTAGTGGCTATAAAAGGTTAATAACTTCTGACTTTATATCTTCTCTAAAAGATGAACCAAAACCTTACAGTGTTGTCACTGTCACCTGTAGGAACAGGCCTGCTATCTGGTTTATGGCAAGGAGAAAATGCCCATTACTAATTTACCAAATTCTGAAGTACTTACACTGGCTGGGCCAAACTTTGTTTAATGTTTTTTATTTCATCTTACGGGATTGCTGAGGCTGTCCTGCCCTGCAGCCCAGCCTCCAATGCCTGTGGAAAACTGCAGGCATTGCTCAAGGCTGTCTCCAGAGCACATCCCTGCTCCCCCTTCCTGTGCAGGCTGGGCAGCTGAAGTCCCCTGGCATCACCAAGCAGAGGGTGTTTGGGCACTGCCAGGCTGCCTGAGGGCTGCTGGCTCTGGGCTGCCAGGGGAGCTGCACTGAAAGAAAGTGGACAGATCTGGGAGGAGGCCAAGAGTGAGAGCGAGCGAGTCAGACAGGAGCACAGCCCAAGCTGGTAATTATGCTAACTATCCAAGCAGCCACCCAAAATGGCTTTTTTGGAGTACATTTGAATGAGAGTATAAAACCTAAACACTTCTTTTTGGTTCCAAACCCATTGGTACTACAAGTTAAAATGAAGGCTGTTGAGCACATTGTATCCGTTATATCAACATATTGTTATTGTAGGTAAGGGATAAGTAATATAATTAGGTAAGTTAATGTTTGAATTACCAAGATCTGAGAGACCAGCAGCTAATGGGAAACCACACTATAAAATGTAAGGTAACTAAATAATAGTATTTACTCTTTTGAAACTCTTATCTTTTCATTTGATTTACTACCATGCAAAGGATGACACATATATTGTTTTAATCCAGGCAGGTCCTGACCCACAGTTCTATGTGAAATACAGAATACTTGAAAGCACTTGTGCCACTGAGGAAAACAAACACTGGCAACACTGTCATTACAAAGTATCTGCAGAGGCTGTAAGTATCTGTTCTCCTTAAAAGTTCTCTGCGCAGAAACATAAGGACCAGGACCCCGTATTGCCTGGGGAAAATACAGTAGAATAATTAACTTTTTTAGCTGCATTTTTTTCATTTGATTTACTACCATGCAAAGGATGACACATATATTGTTTTAATCCAGGCAGGTCCTGACCCACAGTTCTATGTGAAATACAGAATACTTGAAAGCACTTGTGCCACTGAGGAAAACAAACACTGGCAACACTGTCATTACAAAGTATCTGCAGAGGCTGTAAGTATCTGTTCTCCTTAAAAGTTCTCTGTGCAGAAACATAAGGACCAGGACCGCAATTGCCTAGGGAAAACACAGTAGAATAATTCACTTTTTTAGCTGCATTGTTTTTGAGAGCTTATATGACTACAGTACAGAAATGTTTACAACCCCAAAGTTGTCCTAAGTTTTCCAGTACAATCCTGAATATATACAGAAAGGAACATTTCAGTGCTTCAATATGAAGGTTCTCAATAAACACAACATAAGATTTGTGCACTGTGAGAGTGCAAGGACTGTAAAAATTAGTATTAATTATGTGTAGTGGAAACTTGCACAACCAAATACTAACATGGAAGCCACTACAGCAGAAATTTTGGCAGAGGGCTTTCAGCAGTGCCAAACTTGCCTGGCTCATGCTGCCAGAGGGCACCCAGGGGAGGTACAACGGGGCACACACTGCAGGGACGCTGCACATTCCCGGGGGTGGCACTGCTCTTCCACACAGTGCACAGGAAGGGATGATGCTGACAATATAATTTAAATCTATGTGAAATGCTGTGGTCATTGCTGCATACCTTGCACTAGCAGAGAGGAAAATGGATAAATACATAGTTTATATAGTCTTTAGTCATGGGCGTGTGTTAATTTCCATTATTCTGACTGTAAAGTCTTTAGTTAATCAATGCACATCACATAAATACAAAGATTATTCAAGTCATCTGCTCAGTTTGTCCCCTACTTTCCTCACAATCAACAAAACTGATCCTTTTTCAGTAACAAAACAGCAAGTTAGACATTACTACAAATATACACGTGAACCTCTTCCCCAAAATCAGTCTGCAAGTGTCAGCTGTGTTCAATAGGTAAAGCACTGTATTTTTCTTTAGCAAGTTTCAGACAATTGTTGCCATATGTTTTTGCAGAAAACAGGAGAATGCACAGCTCGAGTTCATATGAATGATGCTGATAAAACAACTAATGTTTCACAAGAGTGCAAAATTTTCTCAGGTATGTAACTATTTGGGACAGCTTTCAACAAATACATTTACAAATAAAAATGGAATAAATAAAATACTGAGACTTTCAGGTAATTTTAAAGGTAGAAGCTCCTTATCATTCTAGTCAGACATTTATAAATAATATTTTTAATGCAACTATCGGTTGAAGATAAAATTTCACTTCACTGTTATACACATATAGACTAAATCAGTGAAGCACAGGCAGTTTCTGCCCAGGGTAATGAAATTCAGCATGCATGTGTAGTAAGTTTCTTCAAGCACTAGAATCATACCAAGTTAAAATTAATTTGCTTAAGACCAAAAGAATACTAATAACTTGAGAGATTAGATGCAACTTGCCACACTTCAACTTTCTGTCCTTAATGATTTAAGCATAAAATTTTCTGAGGAATTACTGGAAAAAACTTGGTATGACAAAATTGCACCTTCATTTTCTTCAAACTGAAAATTACTGAGTTCTTGCTGCTAAAGGTTACCAAGACAAGTATTTACCCCAAAGAAGAATAGAAAAAAATTTCATTTACAAAATATAAATCTGGCAGTTATGCAATTATGTATGATTAAGAGACTGATCTTTTACACCTTAACAATAAGTATTACATTTTTCACCTATAAGACACTAATATATGACTTTCACACTCACATAAGAATTTTCCTTACTAAAAAGAGATCACATTGTTTTAAAGATTTCCAATTGAGATCTCTATGCCTGGTGCTCTGAAAGACATACTCAAGTTTGCTTTAAAATACCCATCTAACTACTAACTACAGAAATATTTCCCCCCAATTTCTGAGATGTTTGGCAGCTGCTTTTTTTCCCTAGCTATCTTGTTTAAAACTGAAATGGCTTTACCTACAGCCAGTGTCCTTCTAGGAAATGCAGTACACAAGCTCCATGTTCTGCAGTGAAGAAAAGCTGCATTTGTCGGGCAATGGTGACACCTAGTTGTCAGCAAAAGTTGTGTGAATCCCCCGGAGAACACACGGGAAATTTGCATTTGAATCTTTGCTTAGAAAGCAAAAAATGCCCATATATGAATTAAATTCATGAGGTATTCAGCCTAAGGAACTAATCTTTTCTTACCAAGTTATAACAACTCTGTTAAATAATACATGTTTGTTCAGCATAGTCCTTATGAAAGTGCTGAGACCACAGCTGATCTAGAAGTGGGTGTGCTGTTGGTTCATTATCTTCTTTGTGACTACTTCCTGAAAACGTGGTCATACTTTTCTGTAAGGTATCTCTTTGTCATTACTGAGTCAACATAAGATATACTTTGGTCACACCTGACAGGTGAGGGATTTCCCCACTCTATTGGTACCACACTGTTCAGCCTATTTGGTGGAACAGTTTGATCTAGCTGACCCTGGACTGGTTTCCTGGCTGGTGCAAACTGGCATAACTTCCTTTAAGCCAGTTTATGCCAGCTGAAGATCAGGCACATAAATTTTACTTCAATTCCACAGAGACCACATATTGTCCCACTTCCATTCTCAAGCTCACTGACTTGTGAAATTAATTTATGTACTGAACTATAAAATTAATTTATGAAAATCCAGTCCATGATTACTAGAAAGGAAAGAGAGTTAATAGGATTAGTAGTAGGAAACAGGAGTTTGAGCATCCCTGTCAAGCTTGTCTATTCACAGCCAATCCAGCTGGTTAAGCCTGAAGGTAGCACCCAGTGGTAACTGGCAGCCACAATGACTGGTAGGGACAGCAGAACAGTCCAGCTACAGTCCCTGGGGCACTCAGAGTCACAGCAGCTCACACGGGTGAGCCCAAACAGTTCTGCTGAAGTCCTCATCCTGAAACGTGGTGAGGACAGCAAGCAGCTGCACACTGTGGGTGAGCTCTGAAGAATCTGAAAACCATTCCCTTAGTTGTAGCTTCCACTGGCTCCTCCCTGGCTGAATGAGTAATGTACCTTCCTTAATGGTGTCAAAACTACACGCAAGGTTTTCCTGAAATTCAGTAGTTGCTGGAATGGGGTTCACTGCCAAAACCATGCCCAGACCCTAATGTCATGGATGACCCCTGCCACCCCAACCAGAGCATGTTCCTAAACATAAAAATGTTTTTTTAGGCCTTGAAACTGGAGTATGGGGTTTGCTTATCACACCAGTTAAAAGCAGGAAAGGTTCTTGCTCACTCCCAGATAGGAAAAATGAAAACCTAAGGCTGTTTTGCATGAAACCCTTTGTTGTTTTGGTTTGCTTCTTTTCTAGATGTGTCAAAGATAAGACTTACTGAGGCTCCATGTCTTGGATGCTTTCATCATATATCAAGTGATGGTTCAGAAGTGTCAGAAATTCTGAAAAAAGCCATTCAAAAGTTTAACAAGCACAGCGATGAACTTGCCCTTTTTAAGCTTGTGGAAATAAAAGAAGCTAAGAGACAGGTTTGTGCATGATTTTTCTCTAAATTTTACTGAAATAATCCAACCCAAAGCTGGTACCTTGTTTGTTTTGTGTATGTTTCTGATATTAAAGTAGATTATATTTAATAGTAAAGCATACAAAATGCATATAGAGGGTAGACTCAATAAATAATTATCTTCACTTATAAGGAATCATTAACAGTTACCTACTGGATTTTCAGAGCTCTCAACTGATAGTATACACATTTTTTTCTTTACCTGCAGTTGCTTCTAAGCAGTGTTTAGCACCAGTTTATTTGCATTCTGGTCTGGCACACGCAACCTGTATCATCTCAGACCCTCCTGGGTATTTCCTTTGGCCTTGCCCTGAGGCTCCAGCAGGAGCAGATCCCTCCTAGGAGCTGAGCCAAAGCTGCCAGCCTGCACAGATGTCTCTCACACTCACCAGCCTCTCAAAAAGCAGCAGGCATCTTTGTTTTTGCAGGCAATGGGGCCATTTGTCAGCAGCTGCTATGTGCTATAGGACAGGTAAACCCCACACAGGAAAAATGGGTAAGAGAACCCAAAAACCCAGCATGCCACTTCCTGCAAGATTTCTGCTCATGCAGATATCTGCTCTGCAAAAAATGACTACTCAGGTTGCAGAAATTCTGTGCCATCTGGTATTCCATGCAATAATTCCTTCCCTGTGAAAGGCTCTCCTATGGATTGGTGTGACATTGCTAGGAAGTAAAGTTTCTTATTTGGTTTCTAACTAGTGTACAACCCAACAGCAAACACAGACTCTTTTCTTTGAACCCTTGCATATTTACTAAGCCAAAAAACAACTTCTGCTCTCGTGTCAGCTTGACTCATGATTTAAACCAGACTGTCCTCATTATATTTACTGATGGCAGCAATCCTCTTTGCTGAAAGACAAACTTGCACAACATTTAAGCCACATGACAAAGTGTTGCAGATAGACTGCAATCCAGCAGCTGGAAAGAGAACCATCATGACCTCTGGCAAACAGAGAAAAGTCAGAGCTCTCCACTTCACTTGATCTGGGATAACAAGTTCTTATATTTGATTAGTTTTTTTTAAATACAATATTACCTGGCCCAACATTATGATTTGGAGAGGTTTCATGGGTGAGAAGAAGTAGCCACTGTTAAAATGGAACAGCTTCCTGAAGAGCAAATTTTAAAAAAAGGTTATGAACCTGGACAAAGCAGTGTGTGTGGGAAGGTAAAGCCCAGGATAGACACAATTATGGGTAGATGATAAATGCAGAACATTCAACAAAAAATGATGCCAGCAGTATAAAGTTATATTACTCAGATACTGTTTTACTGTGTCCCATGCTCAGGAATGCAGCACTTGCCAGGCTGTGTTACTGTAGTCATCTATCTAGACCAGCTTCCTGTCACAGGCAGTAATAAGTAACAGATCTTTGAAGGAAAGCACAAGAAACCCAGCAGTGTGAGGCTGCAGGCTTGCCAGAAGTGGACACCAAACACAGAGTGCACTTCTAACAAAAGCAGGACTTAGTTTACACTTTGTACTGCAAGGACAAGATTTTTTTTTTTTCTGCTGTCCACGAGCAATCAATGGCTTAATAAGTGTGAAGTGATTTGATAGATAGAAAGCACTAGATGAGTAGTTTTGCTTCCTTTGCTAATCTCATGTAATAGTTTAACTTTCAAGTTTGCATTGTTTTATATAATATATAACCTAAATATCTCTTCCAGGTGGTAGCCGGATGGAATTATGTAATTAGATATGAAATTGAGGAGACTAATTGCACCAAAGACCAATTTCAAGATTTAACTCCAGAATGCAAAATCACTTCTAGAGGTGTAAGTAATCTCCAAATCTGTTTATCAAGAAAATATCACATTAACAAATGATCATTGAGATCTCACTCAAGAAAATATTTATAGTCTTGCTTCAGTTCATGAACAAAGTTTAAATCCAGTCTTATACATAACTGTTTATGTAACTAGGACAACCATGTCTTCTGAATCAGTGACTAAGAGGACCTCTGAAAGGTTTACAGATTACACCACAGAATCTAACCAGTCTTACCCAAATAATAAAACCCTTGAGTTGTTTTTATCCAGATATTCAAGGAGTTACTCATGTACAACCCAAGAAGTGATAATTAAAATTAACACAATTTTCAGCCTAATACATATTTTCTCAGAAAAGTCAGTAGTTGAATTATCACTTAACCTTTACAACAGTCCAAATAATAGCTTCAAAAGAAATTTATTAACATAATTTATACATAATCCAGCTAAACAGTGCTGCAAACCCAGGTACTCCCTTGGCTTCACTGACCTGGAACTGAAGCAGCTGTACCAAAAATAGAGGCTTCCTCTCTCAACTGACCTCCCTGAACCAACTGACGAGGGCATCAGAAAAATGATTTTGCAAACACAAGGCAGAGGGCAGGAATGCAGAGTCACTATGAACAATGGTGGTAAATGGGAGGGGACAGAATGGAATCTGTTTCAGCTGTTGAGGAAAAGCACCACTGAGTGTTAGATTCAAGAGCCTCTCCTGTACAAAAGTACCTCTTGTACATCTCAAGAATGTTTCAAAAGTATTGATCAAAAAAGGAAAGAATGACAGCACTGGTAAATAACAGAAGTGTGAGAGTCAGACTAGCTGAAGCAAATCCCATCACTACCCATGTGCCCTTAAACCTTAAGCAAGTTACTTAACCAGCTTGAGTCTGAGTTTCCCCAGCTATCACCTAGAGGTGATGACTTCTGTCCCCTCACCTACTGCACGAGCACTGCCTCACTCACATACTGCTTTGGTCACACAGGGCTTCTGGAATTAGATCATAAGCACTTATCCCCTCAACTTGCTAGTAAATCATTGACAGATATTAGAATACCATATTCCAAGAATATTCCATACCTCGGAATGACCAAATTCCAAGGAAGTTTTCTCATACCTTTATTTAGCTCTGTACTTTCAATCTTTAAATGGGAGGGCCAGAATTGCACCCTGTATTTAACACACATATGAACCACTGAGCTATACTGGGACATTATGTCCCTTTAACCTGGATAATAAGCCTTGACATTATTCTTCATCAGTTTTTCTAAAATGCTACTAAGTAGTAGCATTTTACTAATTTTATGGTTAATTTGGCTTCTTTAGTCTTTGATAAAGGATTTCACCAAAACCTTTCTTAAAATCTCTGTATATCAAGAGGTCTCTTTACCCACCTTTGTTTGCGCTTTGACAAATCTGCAAAATATGACTTCTGTTTACCATAAACCTCAGTTTCTCCTGGATGTGTTCATTGCCCCTAGTTCTTTCCTTACTACTATTTTTAATCACTGTAATGATGGAATTGGTTTTAGGCTCTATAATCTTTAAAAAAACCCCACCATCAATATCTGCTTTCTTCAAGCTTTAAGATATCAAGACAGTTTTAAGCAAGTTATCTACCACAGTCCCTTCCGAACACCTGAGAAAATACAAGAAATTCAGTAATGTTTGATTTGATAATTGTGTAATTTTCTTTTTGTTCTTTAAAGTTTTAGACAGAAATTCTGTGGAGTTCTCCGTAAAATATGATTCTGGCTTGTAGACATTCTCATTTTTCTCCTTAATGAACACATACAAATAATTCATTTGGCTTCTCTTTTAGGGTATTATTTTCGCTGAGTGGTCCTTTTGAACTCTGATTATTTATTGCCTCTGCAGACTGTCTGTCAGGGGAGGGAGGGA